ATAAAGAACGAGAAACTAGAGACATTTATAGCTAAATGAATGCATACTGAGGCCATACTCTTAAGCGAAATAAATAGGACACACGTGTAAATACAGAATAGTTTCTCTGTGTGAGGTACTGAAAGTGTAAATAAGGATTAAAATGATTAAAACGAATAATTGATAATTTGAAATAGGAATAAAAGGTCCGAAAGGGTAGGGGAAGTGGGACGGGAAGGGGAAAGGAAAGAAGGGAAAGGAAAAATTATGAGAACAGTAAAAAATGGAAACAAAGTCTTTGTAAATAGGGAAGGGTGGAGGGGGTGAAGGCAGGACTGGGAATGGGGAAAAAAATAAGAATCAAGATACATCAAGTACAGGTACAAGCACCCAATGATAAATGTAAATGTACTGTATACCTAAAATGTACCAATAGAAGAATTTAAGCCAAAAAAGAAAAGAAGAGAAAAACACGATGCGAGGTAGAAGCTTGAGGATTGAAACAATTGCGCGCTCAAGTTGCCAAGGAAGCGGCGGGGAGCTGTGACGTCAGGAGGCGGGGCCTCGCCAGAACCACCTGGGTGCCCGCCCCCGCCGAAGCCGGGGCGGGTGACTCGGAGCTGGACTCCCGGGGGCAGTGGCCCTCAGGGGTGCGAGGCGGGAGGGGCGGGAGGGGCCTGGCGATCGAGGAAAGCATCGCCTGTTCTCTCGCCTGCCGAGAACCCCAATGCGGGTCCTGGAGCCTGCAGACACCTGTCGTGGAGATGTTTTTCTGGTTCCCCTCACCAAAAGGAGGGGCGTCTCACGGGGGTGGGGAGGGGAGGTTTTCTCTCTCCTTGCATTTTCCCCCCAGTACAGAGGATTGAATCTGGGACCTTTGTCCTGAGCTACATCCCTGGCCCTTTTTCAATTTTTTCTTTTTTAAAATTTTGAGACAGGCTCTGGTCATATTGCCCAGGCAGGGCTTGAACTTGTGATTCTCCTGCCTCAGCCTCCCAGAGTGCTAGGATTACGAGCAGCCAGGGCTACACCTGCCACCCCGTTCATTTCTGTCCAGAGGGTCAGCACTTCAGAAACACCTGGGGAAGGGCCGGGGATTTAGCTCCGTTGTTTCGCTGCCTGCTGCGCAAGCGCAAGGACCGGAGTTCGATCCCCGGTACCAAAAACAAAACAAAAGAAACAAAAATAAACATCTGGGGAAAACGATTCGAATTGTGGGCCCCAGGGCACGCACGCTTCATTCCGGGGCCACCTCTTTCATTTTAGGTGATGTTTAACCTAATCACGGAATGTAATTAATGAGGCCGCTGGTGAGAAAAGGTCATTGCATTTAAGTGGTATTTGACTTCAAAATTCCTGCAGGAGTCTTCGAGACACACGTCCAACCCAAATATCCATAAAACCCGGACTAATTGTTCAGGAGGACAAAAGGCCAAGTGAGCTGAATACCAGGCTCTGAATTTAGAAAGTCAACAAAAACCTTCTTTGTGAGCTCTTCCCGGAGCACTGCTAACCCAAGCGGCTTTATGCTTGACGACTGCTTGTTGGCACCCGGCACCCAACCGGCGCTGAGCCCTGCACTCCTGCCTTGTGAGAGGAAGAGCTTTGGGCATGTACGCAGCTTGCAAATACACCAGGGCATTTTAAGTAAAAAGCTGCCAGCTGCTTACTCAATAAAAATACACACTATTACCTATCTGCAGTGCATAATTCTCCACAGGACTTTCCCACCCGCTGGATTTGTGCACATATATGTGCACACATACATTGTGTTTTCGGGCAGGGTCTCAATCTGTAGTTCAGGCCGGCCTTGAACTCACTGTGATTCTCCTGCCTCAGCCTCCGCTCCTTTTCTCCCTTAAGCAGTTAGGCACCTTCCAGGTGAGTTCATTGCCTCCAGCTGCCAGGTGGCAGCAGCTGGGTCCAGGGACTGCCTTCCTCCACTCCAGGTTTAGAAGTGGCTGTAGCTGGGTGTGGTGGCACACAGGTATGATCCCAGCACTTGGGAGGCTGAGGCAGGAGGATCACTGCTTAGATAGTGAGACCTGTCTCAAAAAACCAAAAACCGGGCTGGGGATTTAGCTCAGTGGTTTCACCACCTGCTGTGCAAGTGCAAGGACCTGAGTTTGATCCCCGGTACCAAAACAACAACAACAAAAAAACCCCCCAAAACCAAAACCCCAGTGAATGCAGCCGGGCACGGTGGTGCACTCCTCTAATGCCAGCAGGCAGGAGGCTGAGGGAGGAGGACTGCCACGCATTCTAGGCCAACCTGAACTACATAGCAAGACCCTGTCTCAAAAAAAACCCAAAACACAAGTAAATACAACAAATACAAATTTTTGGATTTATATAATTTATTGCTGTAACTTTTTTCAAAGAACATATAGCACTTAAAAAATAAATGCAAGGTTCACCTGTTTTATAATACACATTTTAATAAGCATGTTCAATATACACACATGTATGTGTGCGTAATAAAACTGTATTTTCTACAGTTCCCTGGAGTGTTATGATTTGACATTACCGTCACTTGCAAAATATGTTTCCAACCAAGTTTCTGTTTCTTTTTTTCTCTATCTTCTCCTGGATCTTGAGTTCTTTTTTGTTTCACTGTATTTCTTTTTAAAAAGCTTCTTTTCAATTAAGCTCACTTCGTCATGGAGAAGGGCGGCCTTTATCCTCAGCAGGAAGGAGAAGAGGTTTAGTATAAACTGGTAGCTCAGAGAGAAATTGGATTCTTCATAGGTGGTCACGTGTTTGCAGTAGCTGGAAGAGAAGGAAAAGGAGCCAGTTATCTTCCCCTGGTGATTCAGAAGTGTGTGTGATGTAGCATGGTGATGCACACCTGTGATCCCAGCACTTGGGAAGCTGAGGCAGGAGGATCCCCATGAGCTCCAGGCCAGCCTGGGCCACACGGTGAGACCCTGTTCCTAAGCTCTGAAGCCTCACCCACCTCCTGCAGAACTTCTGAGTGCTCAGCCAGTACAAGGAATTCTTGGTCACCAGTGCTGGGCCTTTCTTTACCAGGATGCCCTGGAGGCTGTGGCCATGGAAACAGGGCCTGGAGGGGTCGTCTTCGGCCCAGTGGAACTGGAAACTCGAAGGGCTTTTCTTCTCAATGGTCGGTGCTGAATCGGCCAGTGTACTAAACTGTTTCTGTAGATTCACCACCATTTCTGGAAATGGAAGAAAAAGGAAGGAATAAAACAGAGAAGTAGTGTCATGTGATCACAAAGCAAGCCTAGAGTCTCCCTGATAGCAACGCAGATGTGGCAGTTTCTTAGTTTTGAAATTAGAACTGGTTTTTTTTTTGGTACCAGAGATCAAACTCGGGTCCTTCCGCTTGCCCAGCAGGCTGCGAAACCACTGAGCTAAATCCCCGGCCCTGTTTCTTAGTTTTGATCAAACATTTCACAGTAATGATCGAGGGTAGCATCAGGTAAAACAGAAACTGGATAAGGGGCAAAGAACCACTTATTCATAAATGATTAAAATGGTAAATTTTGTGTATATTTTATCAAAATTTAAAAAGAGCTGGGAGTGGTATGCATGTCTTTATTCCCAGCACTCTGGGAGGCTGAGGCAGGAGGATCACAAGTTCCGGCCCACCTTGAGGGATTTAAGACAGGCAGAAGGTCCAAGCTCTATCCCCGGTACAAGACTCAAGGGGGGGCTGGGGGTGTAGCTCACAGTGAAGGCCTTGGCCTCAATCCCCAGTACTGAAAAGGGAAAAAGTGCAACGTAAGGGCCGTTCTCCCGGCAGTTTTCAGTCCTTCAAGCCCAGCGCCAGGTTTTGGAGGGAACTTGGGCGTTCACGTGAGCGATGGCCATTTCTGAACTAACAGTCTTAGCGCTTCCTCGCAGCTGCTGCTGCTCTTCGTGCACGCGCAGGAACCTGCCAAGCCTTAGGCCCTCGTGTCTCGGGCCGATCCGTTTAGCTGATCACCGAGGTCCCTGCGAGCCCGAGCAGGACACCACTCACCCCTTCTCTTGGACGCCCCCGGCTTGTCGATGTGCGAGTGGTAGAGTGGCTTCTCGCTCTTCCACAGGTACCTGTGTGGGGCAGGCAGAGGGACAGCTGGAGCGGGAGGGCCGAGTGCCACCCACCCTTGAGCAGCGGCCAGAGGCCGCACCCCGGCCGGCCACAGAGACCAGGGTGGCCAAGTGCTACATCGCTCAGGGGACCCAGCTGGGAGGGCAGGGTCGGGAGGAGCCAGGATTACACCAAGCAGAACAGAAGTGGCCACTGGGCGTGACTGTGAAGCCTATCCTCCCAGCGCTCAGGAGGCTGAGGCAGGAAGACTGCCCTGAGTGTGAGACCCTGTCTCAGCAGACCTGGTTTCCCTCAGCAGAGCCTGGCTGCCGTTTCTTCCCTCCCTGGCTCTGGCCTGTGCCGCGGGCTGTCCTGGCAATTCTGGCTAGGAAATCGGGGGGACTTTGGACCAACCTAGCCCAAGGGTTCCCTGCAGGGCAGAGACTAAGAGTCACTGCTGTCCTGAGGATCACCAGGGAGCAGCCCGGGACTCAGGCCCGAGGGGAGAGCACTGTGTGCAGCACTGGGGCAGTGGCCACTGCTACAAGGTTCTGCCATGCAGTTCAGGCTGGCCTGGAAACTCGCAGTGATCCTCCTGCCTCAGCCTCCCGAGTGCAGCCACCATGCCCAGCCACAGAGTTCATTTGTAACCTCATTGTCACTCCTTCTGCGCACCCTAAAGCGGAGGACTCTTAGAACTTGTAGTCACAACTAAAGCTGCCCTCTTGGTCACAGGCCCCTTTCGATTCTGAGACACTGTGGCAACAGGAATGAGTACTGAGTTGAGGGACCTGGCTCTGCAACTTCCTGGTGAAAGTGAAGTGGCCCCAGAGAGGATGGAGGGGCAGGGGCAGGGGCACGGGCAGCCCCATGTGGGCAGGGAGTGGCAGCCAGCACAGGCTCATTTCACTACGCAGTGACAAACAGACAGAGAAATGGCCAGCTGAGCTTGGCACCTCTAACCTGTCTTTCTCTGTCCACAGGACTGTGTGAGGAACAACTAGAATCACCTAGGGACAGGTTCTCTAAATCCCATATAACTATTAGACAAAATGATCTTATCTGTGGATTTCCTAAAAAGGTGATAAACAATGGGAAGTCAGAAATATGAGGGTTTTATTATTTACCCAAAGTATTCTACAATTAGTAATTTTTCACTGTTTTTTTTAACACTCGGAAAGAAAATATACACAAAAGTAGACATTTAATATTATGATAGCAAACGGTCACTGTAATCAATTTAGAATTGGGCTTTTTCTCAAGTATTTAAAAAATAATTCAGTATAATCATGACTGAGAGAGAGAGAGAGAGAAAGAGAGAGGAGATTTTTTTTTCATTTTTTTGAGACAGGGCCTCGCTATGTAGTCTAGGCTGGTCTTGAATTCACTGTGTAGCCCAAGCTGGCCTCAAACTTGGGGCAATCCTCCTGCCTCAGCCTCCCAAGTGCTGGGAATCCATTTGCTCTCCAAGCCCTTGATCTTGGGCAACCGCACGTCTGTTTTTCTGCCTTTTCTGACTGGAATATAAATGGACCCACGCTGTGTCACCCTTTGAGTCTCTCCCTTAGCAGGGTGCGGGTGAAATGTATTCACACTTCGGCTCTTTCTTGTGGCCCAAGGGTGCTGCCCATGTGGCTGTGGTACAGCTGGTTTCTCCGGTTGTGGCTGAGGGACATCTGGGTGGCTGCCAGCTCTAGGCGGCTGTGAATGAGGCTGCTATCAGCGTCCTACACGGATTCCTGTGTGGACATGAGTTTCACCACATTTGGGTAAAAACCAAGATGTGGACAGCCCTGGGTGTGTCCCTACATTGCGTGCCTGACTTTGGGAGACACCGCCACGGCTCACGCACGGCTGCACCACTTTGCAACCACATGTGGTACAGTCAAGTTTGGGGTTTGGTTTTAGCTATTCTGAGATAATATTTCATTGTGGGGTTGTTTTTTTTTGGTACCAGGGATCAAACTCGGGACCTTGTGCGGAGCTAAATCCCCAGCCCTAGGGCTTGTTTTTTTTTTGAGACAGGTTCTCACTCTGTAGTTCAGCTTGGCCTGGAACTCCCAGGGTATATCTCAGAGGTAAAAAACTTGTCTACAGTGTGTGGCACCCTGGGATCTAGACCCAGCACCGGAAGAAAAAAGTTTACTAGAAGGTGACCATTTCTAAGAATAAAAGTCACAATGTTGATGATCTGTACTGATGGGACTTCAGCTTTCAAATAACACAGAAATAAAGTAGGAGAATCTAAGACAAGAAAAGAGCTGGGTGTGGTGGTGCAGGCCTAGAATCTCAGCACTTTGGGAGGCTGAGGCAGGAAGGTTACAAGTTCAAGTCCAGCCTGGGCAACTTTGTGAGATCCTGCCTCAAAAAACAAAGGGGGGGGCCCGGGGATTTAGCTCAGTGGTTTCACCACCTGCTGTGCAAGCACCAAGGACCTGAGTTCGATCCCCGGTACCAAAAAAAAAACTCAAAAAGGGCTGGGGGTGCAGCTCAATGGTGGGGCACCCCTGGGTGGTCCCCAGCATCACTAAATAAATAAGAAGAGACAACATACTTGGCTCTTGCTTCCTCCCAATTTTGTTTCTTCTCATCCACACTTTTCTTCATGACTTGGTACCACTTTCTGAAACTGAACCATGGTTTATCTGAAAGAAATGGGGTGCGTGGTTATTAGTGAAACAAACCACATCACAGTAACATCGATCTTTCGGGTCTGCCTTCATTGACGCAGCTGAACATTTATGCAACAGCTCCTGAAGTTACCTGAGTTTTCACCGATGTCGTGGCCTTACCTGGATTCAACCCGAAACATCTCTTCCTGCCTGTTTCTCCTAGATATGACTCTTAGGGAACAGAAGACACACACTGCTGTCACAGTACAACTAGGCCTCTTCCTTCCCCTAAGCCCAATACCCGGCACACATGGCCTGGCACTTGCTGGGGCCCTGACTGCCTGCAAACGTGTGAACTGGGGAACATTTGACCGAAAAGCATGTGAGACTCAGCTCTAAGAGCCGAATCTAGACTTCTAGGCTCACTGCCTCCTGTTCCCATTCTTCCCAGTCTTAATCCACAGCTTTCTAGAGATTAAAAAGAAAGTGGATCCTACTGGGTAGTTCATGTGTGTTCAGATGTAGAAGTGAGAGTGACAAGAGAACTGAAGATAGCAGAGTACAGAAGGGGATTATTCTCTAATGAAGACAGTCTCTTCAATGTCTAATTAAAAATCTCTTCAACTGGCCAATAGTGTCATCACCCAAACCAACCTAGCCTTGTAGCCATTCGGCCACGGAGGAGTGGACCCCAGCAGGATCATAGGGCAGAGGATACTGCAGCAATTACTCTGTATAAAGGTCTCGGGCTCACAGCTTCTCTAGGTCGGGGGGAGAGGGTGGAGGACAGTGGGGGGACAGGGTGGGGACAATGCCCTGCCTCCTGAGGGCACAGGATTCTGAGGCCCAGAGGGAGAGGTTGGGTGCTGCCTTCACCCACACGTCCATGCAGCCTGCAATCACCGTTAGCACTGAAAGGGACCTCGGGAGACTCCGGCTGAGCCAGAGTCCAAGCTTTCAGAGCAGCATGTGGAAAGCGGTGCATTGTCCTGCACAGAATCTGGAAGGAACACACCAACTGCCCATTCCTTGAGCTCCTAAAAGCCACAGACATAAAATCCTGATGAGAACAGAAGGCAAGTGGGACTGAATTTAAGAATTCAACAATTCCCCAAACTTCACAGAGTTGCTCTTAGGCCAGTTACTCTGTTAAGATGGTAAAACTGAGGTTCAGAATGAAGCTGCAAACCATCAGCCATCCACGGCCTCGTCCAGTGGGCGGGCAGAAGTGGGGACTTGGAGCAGCCGCGCTCCCACACAGCAGGAAGTCACTGCAGCCTGCAGCTGCCCACCACAGACTTAGGTGGTTATGTGACCAGAGAATCCTGGGCCCAGGTGAGGTTTGCACATGCGTATGTGTGCGTGAGTGTGCGTGTGTACTATTTCAGCCCCCCCTGATTTATTGTATCTTAGAATCCACCATTTACAATCACTTTGAATTTGATAGAGAAAAAAATTCAGTACCTGTTTTGTTCTTTTCATTATTGACTTCAGCGAGATCAGACAAAGACCTAGGGATAACAATAAGTGTGTGGATTGATTTAGAAATCACATATGTGAGTTACATTTTGAATTCTTCTGAGAGGAAAGTATAAAACTGTATTTGAAATTTGAAACTGATACCAAATCTTCTTGGAGAAACAATCACTGAAGCTGGAAGGAAGACACCATGAAAACTACTCTGCTGGGCGTGGTGGTACATGCCTGTCATCCCAGCACTAGGGAGGAGGAGGGACGATTGCCACGAGTTCAAGGCCAGCCTGGGCTACATAGTGAGACCCTGTCTCAAAACAAACCAACCAGGGCTGGAGACTTAGCTCAGTGGTGCTGCCACCTGCCTTGCAAGTGCAAGGTCCCTGAGTTCGATTCCCATACCAAAAAATAACTTAAAAAATTAAAAAAACCCCAAACCAACCAACACCCAGAATGACACGATCAAGCGTTATTTGCCATAAAATTTAAATGCTCTCACCATTCTAAATTGTCATCCAATAGGAAGAGCAGTTTCAAGACCACCACAATGAGAGCTATGGCCTGCACATCATATTTCACTGTTTGGGCACCTTTAGCTATCGGGTCAAATGTCAGAGAATCCACGTCCCCCAGCCCGGTCATCTTTGTCACTTGGTGGGTTAACCCGTGCATTTCATCTGTTGAAGAATGAAACAGTCAAATGTGAGTTAAATTCTTCGTCAAACTAGGCCCCAGCAATGTGTGTATCCACGAGACACAAGGCTGGGCACAGGGCACACACCTGAAACCCCAGCTACCCAGAAGGCTGAGGCACGAGGATCAAAAGTTCAAAGCCAGCCTGGGTAACCTAGGTTTAAGTAAAATTTCAGATGTGGAGGGGGCTGTAGCTCTGCACTCTTTGGGTACAATCCATAATTCTGGGGAAAGGCATGACACTACTAGAACCTGGAGATGCATGTGCATTTTGTGATAAAATGCACCCCCAAAGTGACACCTGTATGAAGAAATGTAAAGGCTGATCTCGGCAAGGCCTACATCTTCTGCCTCTGCAGAGCACACTGTGGCCCCCGGCGTCAGCCACATCTCCTGCAGGACACATCTCGTCTGTGTCCCATGCTGGCGCTCACTGACTCGGCTGCAGCATCCCTGGCGTGTTGGGCAGATGCACAGTGGGTGCTGACCTGATGCCCTGCTTGCCTAGGGGAGGGATGTGGGACTCAGAGGCAGGAAACCAGGCCTCCACATCAGGAACCTCTGACTCTGCATCAGGGCCAACAAGCCTCGGTTTCTCCACTTGTCACCAGAATAAACCAAGCAAGCACACCCTGGACAGCTCCACTTCTAAGCACACTTCTGTACTGAGTTCTCAGGATGCGCCATGTCCCTGGGGGGGGCACACTGAAGCTCAAGAGCTGCTGCCTGAGGAGCCTGGGGACTAAGCATGGTGCAGCTGTGGTCCCCTCCATGTCCTGGTTGCTGGGTCCTCTGTGGAGCCACCCAACTGGATAGAGATCGTCTCCAACACCATGGCTCTGTCACCTTCCACACGTCCCTGGGCCTTTGTCCGCTGCAAGTCTGTCACATGCAGAAAGCAGGGCCGGGGTCTCCCATCCTCTGGTCTCAGCCTGTGGTGGTCCGGTCACCATGTCCCTGCTCCTGGGAACCCGTGACCACTCAGGGTTCCTGGAAAGAGCCACTACCAGTTGCCTCTGCTCGGCCTGTGCTTCCAAAGTCACTTTCTCTTCTCTGTTCTTCCTCATCTCTAGTTTTGGTGGGCCGACGGCCGCTCCTCTCACAGAACCTGGTCACATGATCCTGGTCCCACAATCCCAGTGGGGCAGCAGCAGCCTTCGACTGCCAGGCAGCTGGCCACGGTTAAGGACTGACTTCCGCCTCCCTCTTGCTGAAAATCTGTCTTCCCCCCTGTAGCAACTGGCACGTACCCGGCCACAAGGACCCGTCTATGGTAAAGAATGACCAAAGTACAAATGGATTTCGTCCTGGAAATGTTTACATGCACATTTCCACTCATCAGGGCTGGGGCAGGGGCTCAGTGGTAAAGCACTTGCCTGGCGTGTGTGAGGCTCTGACTTCTGTCCCCAGCACTACCAAAAATAAACAAAGAAATTAACTTATTAAAAATACTTTTTTTTTTTGGCGGTACTGGGGATTGAACTCAGGACCTTGCACTTGTCAGGCAGGTGCGGCGCCACAGAGCCACATCCTCAGCCCAGCTTTTTTTTATGTACTGGGGATCAAACTCGGGACCTTGTGCTTTTGAGGCAGGTGCTGGGACTGCTGGGCTAAATCCCTGGCCCTAAAAGTGCTTTGAGCACTGCTTGTGGTGGCACACATCTGTAATCCCAGCACTTTGGAGGCTGAGGCAGGAGGACCACTGTGAGTGGGCTACATAGTGAGTTCAAGGCCAGCCTGAATTACATAACAAGATCCTGTCTCAAAAACAAAACAACAACAACAACAAAAAGCCCACTCGTGCTTTGTTCACACAGCAACAGAACATCCATATATATACATACACGTACACAATGGTAACTCAGTCTGTGGCATCCAAGGGCTTCTATGGTCTACAGCCCTCCCCCAGCTGTTACTCACTCTTCATCCAGCGACTCCTACGCCTCCTACACTGTGGACACTTGGGGCAGAGACACCCTTTTTCTCCAGGACTCGTGGCTCAGTGCCAGGCAGCTAATCAGGTGGTGGTGGGTGGGGCTGGGGCAGGCGCCCGGTAGCCTTTAGTGCTGATTGAGGAGCAGGGCAGAGGCAGGGCAGGAAGTGTTCATGTGATGGAGAATGCAGATGTGCTAATGTCAAGGTGATTTTGACCCAGAGTCCATCTGAATGCACTCAGGGCCACCATCCAGGTGGGAAGAGATGAGGATGTATAGAAGTATGCTCAATTCACAATACATTTACTTGGGCTCGGTGGTGCACACCTGTGCTCCCAGCACTCAGGAGCCTGAGACAGGAAGATCACCGCAAGTTTGAGGCCAGCCTGGGCTAGCTACATAGTGAGTTCAAGACCAATCTGCACTACATAGTGAGACCCTGTCTCAAAAAAAACAAACAAAAATTTATTTGCTGAATGCCTCCTGTGTACAGGACTGGTACAATGGAGGACAGCAGAAAAAAGAGTAACATGGAAAAGCTAATTTCAAACCACATTCACTAAAATTTATCTATTACCTGATAGAAGGTTATAGAGGCTACAGTCTTTTCTCAGAAAATTTAAAAATCAAAACCACATTGGTCAGGGCTGGGGATTTGGCTCAGTGGTAATGCACCTGCCTTGAAAGTGCAAGGTCCAGAGTTAGATCCCCAGTACCAAAAAAAAAAAAAAAACGAAAAGAAAAAAAAAAAAAACCACATTGGCCAAAGCTTTTGTACATGGGGAGGGGAAGGGGGGAATGGGATAAAAGAAAATAAAAATTAAAAACCACACTGGTAATATTATCATAAAGAATATCTCCTGAAAATAATGTCTTTCTTTTACGATTAACATCTTGAACTGCCAAAAGTGCAGAATAACAAAACAGTAAATGGGCTGGGTGTGGTGGTGCATGCCTGTCCTCCCAGCTACTCAGGAGGCTGAGGCAGGAGGATCTCGAGTTCATGCCCCCAGCCTGGGCAACTGCTACTGATTATATGTAGGTGTCCCCCAAAGCATCCTGTGCTCACAGGTGGGGCTTTTGGGAAGTGACTGGATCCCGGTGTGGGATGCTGTGCACCTATGTCCCTCTTCCCTGGATGGCTGCTGCTTCCTGCCCACCAGGCGCCTCAGCCAGGCCACCCTGCCTGGGACCAGCCAACCATGGATTGAAACCTCTACAGATGGAGCCAAAATAAACCACTGCTCCTTTAATTTGTGGGTGTCGGGTATTTTCTTCCACCAATAAGGAAGTAACTCAAGACAGGAACTCAGTGAGACCCTATCTCAAAATGAAAACTTAAAAAGGCTGGGGGATGTAGCTCAGTGATGGAGCACTTGCCTAGCATGTGCAAGGCCCTGGGTTCAATCCCCAGTACTGCAGGGGAAAGAAAAGAAAAGCAAGAAAAGGCAAACAGAAGGAAGTGTGGGAGAGGCCTTGAGGATGGACAGACAGGGTCCCAGGGGAGGTGACGTCCAAGAGCACGGGGCTTGGATGCGGGAACTGGCACGTGCCGGTCCTCCCTGCACAGGCCCTAGGTGCCACTGAGCCCCCGGAGCCCCATCAATCCGTGCGTGGGGACCCCACCTGCCTTCCGTCCTCAGTGCTGAGGAGAATGCACATGGGGTGCTTTGGAAAGGCCAGAAGTCTCCAGGCCAGACCCAGATGGTGAAGCGGCAGAGCCTTCCCTGGCCAGGCCGGAGGAGCCCTGCAGAGACTGAGGGCCACTCAGGGGGTGTCGGCTGCTAGAACCTTCCACCTGGCCCCAAGGTCACACTGAACGGCCTGGAGAAAGGGCAGTGTTTGTTATCCCAGCAGAGGCAGAAGCACTTTTAGCTTTCTGGGGACCCAAAAATCTCTCTTTAAAGTTGGGTATGCTGGGCCACACCTGTAATCACAGCACTTGGGAGGCTGAGGCAGGAGGTTCTCGGTGAGTTCAAGGTCAGCGTGGGGTATATAGTGTGTTCAAAGCCAGTCTGAAGCACACAGTGAGATCTTGTCTAAAAAAACCCCGAAAGCACAAAAGACATGGCCTTCTTTTTGAGCAACAGTGTCATACAACTAATGGCACTATTGGAAGTAGCATCTGTAAATTGTGAAACAGCACATTCGAGAGGTCATCTCACACACAATCTTAAGCACAGATGATGTGCACACCAGTTTCAGGCACTTTAGACTCTAGATCCTGAAACATGAAGACTATCAGCCCCCCTTCCCCATACTGGGAATCAAACTCAGGCCCTTCCCTTCTGAGGCAGCGGCAGATGCAGCGGCGCTGAGCTAAATCTCCGGCCCTCACATCTTAATCTGTAAATCTGAAAACATGTATTGCTCTCTCCCCGACCAGTAATAAAATAAACTCAATACAGGCCATTTGTAAGATTTGTAAAAATATGAAAAAGGAAAAATGACATGGATTACCACAGCTAAGAAGTTGCTCACTTGCTTATTTATTTACTTATTAAGACAGGCTCTTACTGTGTAGTCCAGGCTGGCCTCAAACTCACAGTAGTCCTCTTGCCTCAGCCTCCTGAACATTGAGATTATAGGCATGCACCACCAGGCCTGTCTCAAAATAGCCACTTTAATGTTTCAGTATATGTACTTTTTTTTTTTTGGTATCGGGAATCGAACTCAGGTCCTTGTGCTTGCACAGCAGGCAGCAAAACCACTGAGCTAAGTCCTCGGCCTCAGTATATGTACTTCTAATTTCATGTACCTATCACCGTGTTACTTTGTAATCTGGCTCGTTTCATTTTTTTTTTATAACAAACATTTTCAATGCTTTAATAACTCTTCATAAACATTATCTTAGAAGCTACACAGTACAGCTGGGAGGGTTTACACCGATAATCCTAGCACTGTGGGAGGCTGAGGCAGGAGGACCACAAGTTCAAGCCCAGTCTGGACAAATCAGCAAGACCTTGTCTCAAAATAAAAACAAGTAACAAGGGCAGGGGAGGATGTGGTTCATTGTGAGGCCCTGGGTTCAATCCCCAGTACTACAGACACACCCACACACCCACACACAGACACAGACATGTAAATAAGAAACAATGCAAAACAGCAATTCTGATCTATCAACACATGAAAATGCAGATAAACATCTTCCAAATTCTAGAATCCTGACCAAAAGTGGCTTCTGAAATCTCAATAAGGGATACAGATTCCTTAGCTTTATAAATGACACATTTTCAAAGTTTAAATTCTTTTTGTTCCTGTTTATAAAAATATTTTATTTATATTTGTACATATATTACCATATTTTCTATTTACTTTCATAGTTAATGTACAATGTTGTGTATCACTTTTTTCACATCTGTGTTTTTCCCTCCTATTAAAAGTATGTCAAGGCCAGCACGGTGGTGCACACCTGTAGTCTCAGCTACTTTGGAGGCTGAGGCAGGAGTATCACTTGAGCCCAAGAGTCCAAGACCAGCCTGTGTAACACAGCTAACACAGCAAGACCCTTGTCTCAAAAAATAATGAAAAAAATAAAGGAAAATACATTGAATCACATTTTTGATGCTGCTTAAGCCACGATGTAGTCATAGCATGTTTGCATTTTCCCTTAAGAATAAAAGTGTGTCTTTCTCACATTTCCAGTCTAACGAGAAACTCAGGCCAGTGCATCGCATCGGCAGATTCCATCGGGGTGACTGTCACCAGTGACAGGTGTGGCGAGGCTCTTGCACAGCCCAGGTCACCGTCTTCCAGCGAGCACCAGGGTTTGATCTCCTCTCCTTTCACAGACTGGAACCCGCAGATGCCATCGAGTGACAAAAATGTCACAGAGTCGCTTCTGGGATTCATTCAAGTTAGAATCCAAAAGCCTTCATGCAGTGTTACTCTTTACAGAGCCAGCTGTGAGCAACACACTGACATCTGCTGCGTCCTCTCCTCAGCAAACGTGGTGTGAGAACCACGCCTGCTCTCAAGCATAAATCTCCTACTCCGAACTAGACTTCTATTTTTGAACGATGTCCCTGGAAACACTTTATTTTTTTCACTCTGTTTTAATAGGTTATACAGATTAATGAGTTTTATTTTGGCAGATTACTTAAGCAGTGTGTGTGTGTGTGTGTGTGTGTGTGTGTGTGTGTGTGTGTGTGTGTGTGTGGTGGATGACTTGAGACAGGGTTTCCCTATGTAGCCCAGGCTGGCCTTGAATTTGCAGCGATCCTCCTGCCTCAGCTTCTTGGGTGCTGGGATTACAGGTGTGCACTCCCACACCTGGCACTTAAGCATTTTGAATGGCCTGAATCCTTTTCAGAAAGGATTTTGAAATTAAGCTTCATGCTGCTGTGTGCCATCTCTGGGGGTTCCAGGAGTCTGTGGCAAGGAAATATGTTTCACATTCTGAGATTCCGGTAGCGAAAGCTCCCTCGGGGAGCAGCCTGAATGCTTACCAGGGAGGTTGGCTTCCATCAGATACTTCACACATAGGATGTTGGGGTGAAGGAAGCAGTCTTCGGTGATGTCTGGAAAACGGGGCAAATCTAAAAACGTGGCGATTTCAAACATGTGTTTATAGATCTCCTCATAGTCAGGCCAAGACTGAAATAGAGAGAGGTCACTGGGGTAGCAATTGTTCTGATTTTATTTTTTTGTTTTTTGGGTTTTTCTTGGTACCAGGGATCAAACTCGGGACCTTGTGCTTGTGAGGCAGGCGGTGGGACCACTGAGCTTAATTCCTGGCCCAATTGTTCTGATTTTAACGCCTTATGTTATTGAATGTTTGGAATGTGGGAGAAAATATGAAGAAGGAAACACCCACAAATCCTTACTGTTCTAACTCAGCAATTTTTTTTTGGAGACAGAGTCTCACTATGTAGCCCAGGCTGGGCTTGAACTTGCAGTGATCCTCTTGCCTTAGTGTCCTGAGTGCTGGGATTACAGGCGTGCACCACCACACCTGGCTTAATCTACTAATTTAAAAAAGTCACAATACTAAATTAAAAAGCCACTAAAATTATTTGTCTCCTAAAATTCTTGGTGACTCTGCCCGAGCTGTACAGAACGGAAGTGTGACTCTTGCCCCTGAAAGGTTGGAGGATCAAGCTGACACTTAGTCACGGTGCTATCAAAGGGCTCCAACACACAGCTCTCTCTCGTCCCTCCCTCCTGCACCTCTCAGAATTGTCAGATTCATACTCGTCGCAAGTGCAGCCTGCTGGCATGTAACATTCACGCACTGCTACGTGGGAGAACACCGCGGTCCGTGTCTAGCAGGTGAAAATCCACACTTGACTTCCTGCAGAACTCCTTCACGTACATTCTCTTATGAAGTTCAGAAAAATCTGTTTTTTCCTGAGTAAACATTAATAAAGTCTGTCTGGTACTTTAAGACTGCCTTTCTGCCCGTGTGATTCCTACTTCTGTAACTTATAAACAGTTCTAATGTCAATACTATGTGTAATTTTGCTCCTTTATTTATCTGTTTGCATGAAAGCCTGCTCTGTGCAAGGTGCTTGAGGAAATGGGATGGGGTGAAGATGAACAAAGCAGATCCCTCAAGGGGTTGCCATCTAGAGTAGGAGCCAAGTGTGCAGAAATGGTTGGAGTGCAGTGTGGGAAGCTGTCAAGCACCATGCATAGGAGGAACAGTCGGCTGATGGGACCCCAGGAGAGCTGTCACAGCAGGGTCTGTTAGGACTGGTGCTGAATACAGTGCTTTGCAATCTGCTGGTAAGACCTGCGTGTGCTGAGCGGGTGACATCTTATGACAGCAACTCTACTCTCAGCTACACTCCCCAAAACCTGCACACAGCCCTGAAAGCTGGGTTCTATGAAGTTCCTGTAGCAAGCTGCTTGTATGAGGGCCCAGCAGGAAGCTCCCCAAATGTGCATCAAGGACAGGAGAGAAAGGCATATGTTGCAGGCACAAAAATACAGTGAATGTTTAAATTAAAAAATGTATCACAGTAAGATACTTTGCCACCAATCCCCCCAAATCCTCCTCCTTGCTTCCAACACACTCAGCCCATCGTCCTTGACACTTCCTGCAGCAGCTCTGGAGTCCTCTTTCCTGAGGGTCTTTAGGTACACTGTCCTGGCTGCCTTGATGTCCTGAATGGATTAAAAATGTCTCCCTTTCATGGTCATTGTGCCTTTAGGGAAGAGCTGGAAGTCACACAGTGCCAGATCCGGTGACTAAGGTGGATAAAGACACAGTGTCACGTTTTTTTACAAGCTGCCTTTCTGGATGGTACTCGGCAGCAGCAGTCACCATATTTTTTATCACACCTGGTAAAGTCCCTCAGGAACGAGAACTCCAGAGCTGCTGCAGAAAGTGGCAAAAACAATGGGATGAGTGTGTCTGATGTCAGGAGGATTCTGAGGGGATTCACAGCAGTATGTTTTTCACTGTGACATATATTTTTAAAGAAATGCATAAACATTCATGGTGATCACCCTCATGGTCTCAGGTGTCAGCAATGAAATGAATGCTCTACATGCAACAGTGTGAATGAATTCAAATTCTCAGGACATAACATTCCAAGAAGGAAGCCAGATGTAAAAGAAGAACAATTCCATTCATATAAGGTCACGTCAGGAGTCAGGACTGCAGCTACCCCAGGGGTGAGGCTGGATGGGGGCGCGCAAGCACAGCTCATGCTGCATACTCTTAGGATATGGACATTTTCCAAGATGTCTATTTTACCTTAATAAAAAGCCTATAATCGCAGCAGTCTGGGAGGCTGAGGCAGGAGGATCACTGGGTTGAGCCCACCCTGGGTAATTCAGCACTTAGTGAGACACTGTCTCAAAGTAAAAACTTTAAAAAGGGGGGTGTGTGTTGGGGATGTAGCTCAGTGCAAAGGCCCAGGGTTCGATCCCCAGTACCAACCCTCTTCCAAAAAAAGTAAAAAAGTTAAAGAAAAGGGAGAGAGTGAGGTGAAAAGGAAAGACAACATCAGTTAAGTATAAGAGAGCTACTCTGATGTCATCTTTAGCAAAGAAATAATCTAATTGAGAAACAGAGCTTTGGAAAGACCTTAGGAAGTAGACAGTGTAAATCTACAGACACCCTGGGAGGAGGACACCCGGGCCTTCTTAAAAATCTCTGTGACGAGGGCCATGGACGTAGCTCAGTGGCACTGTGCTTGCCTGGCAAGTGCAAGGTCCTGAGTTCGATCCCTGGTACCAGAAAACAAAATAAAACAAAACAAAACAAAATAAAACTCCACAGTGAGAACCTAGCTCTTTCTCCCAAGGCAGCCTTGTTTGTCTTGGGCCCATGGCTGAACCCAGTCTGCCAATGAGCTCTGCCTGCAGTGCCAGGTACCCCATTGTAATGGGTCTAATCATTGGTTTAAGGAAAAACCTACTGTGTTTCACTGAAAATAAGACCTAGGGCCTGGGGATTTGGCTTAGTGGTTATGCCACCTGCCTGGCAAGTGCAAGGACCCAAGTTGGATCCCTGGTACCAAAAAAAAAAAAAAGAAACTAAGACCTAGCCAGAAAATAATCAGCCTTAAAAACTAGAGATCAGTCAGCTGCCTGCCTCACAAGCACAAGGACCCGAGTTTGATCCCCGGTACCAAAAAAACAAAAACTAGAGATCAAAAATGCCAGCCCCAGATGGGCGTGGTGACACATGCCTGGAATCCCAGCACTCAGGAGACTGAGGCAGGAGGATTGCTGTGAGTTCAAGGCCAGCCTGGGCTACACAGTGAGTTTAAAGCTATCTCCTCTGGGCATATACCCCAAGTAGGATTGCTGGGCGTATGGTAGTTCTATTTCTGATTTCTTCGGATACATCCATGCTATTTTCCATAGTGGTCAAAGCTTGGTTTTAGATGCTACTATTTCTCACCACTTCTGCTGCTACTGCCTGCTCCTACGCCAGCCCCAGACCTGGCCCACCACCCTCAGGAACAGCACCGGGTCCGCTCTGGCTGTGGTGCAGCTGGGGGCCAGAGTGAGACTTTCAGTGCAAATCTGATATGTCACTGTCTTTGAGAACCCACTAACAGGTCACGCAGCTCCGAGGCCGCCATGTGTGGCTCTGGCTTTGTCTGAGGTAAACTGTCTGCTAGACCTTTAGGGGAGAAGGTGGAATGACCAGGAAAGGCAGCAGCAGGGAGACGAGGCGCGTGCACGGAGCACAGGGACACCTGCATTGCTTCGTGTTACAGGGGGCGTCTTCTTCCATCCCACACCACTTCTGGCCTAAGAGGCCACAGGCTGGACGAGCTCTTGGGGACAGGGTGTGCTCACCGCAGCATTAGGTGAACGGAATTGCTGTGGGTCCCTAGAGTGGAGAATGTGCCGACTGAGAGCAAGCGAGTGATGACAGACAGCAAGGTAGCTGATCCTGCAGCCCAGCTGTGGTTGTGCTGGGAGGGCAGAGAGGGGCCCGAGAGCCCTGTCTTCACCACACTCAGCTTCCTTTCTTCCAGGTGGCTTTAAACTGCCCGCCTGCTCGTCATTCTAACACAGACGCACAAGCAATCCTGAGGGGCATTCGAGATGGGGGCACACCGAGGGTAGGGTGTGGAGGAGACTCCATCCACTAAGGGAGGTGAGGACAGGCTGGGTGGAGCCCTTCTGCCTCCCATCGCTTTGGGCACAGGTTCACGAGGGCCGCAGGGGTGCTCCACAGCGCGTGAGTCACCAGGGCACTGCACCACTCAGTGGGTTTGGCCAAACCAGTGTGACACCTTTTCTTTTTACTCATTCAGAGAAGATCCGAAGGTTGTTTATCAACATTCAAAATACTGCAGATGTGTTCTGGAATGGATTTCCAGTTTTCTCTTTGTCACTTGTTGCTGAGGATGATAAAAGAATGAATGATCCATGGGCCAGGGATTTAGCTCAGTGGTTTCACTGCCTGCTGCACAAGCACAAGGACCCGAGTTCAATCCCCGGTACCAAAAAAAAAAAGAAAAAGAAGAGCATTATGAATGGTAAATATCCGGATAAATATAATGGCACTTTTTGGGCCAGGGATTTAGCTCAGTGGTTCCGGCGCCTGCCTCGCAAGCGCAAGGTCCTGAGTTCAATCCCCAGTACCAAAAAAAAAAAAAAAAGAATGATCCCCCCACCACCACCCCCCCGCCTGAGGCCTGAGGTCAGGGCCTTGGCACTGAGCTCCATCTCCAGCACCTTTTTACTTTTTATTTTGAGACAGGGTCTTACTAAGTCACTAAGTTGCTCAGGTTGGGTTCTAATTTGTGATCCTCCTGCCTCAGCCTCCCAGAGTGCCAGGATAACAGGCATGTGTCACCACCCCTAGCTTGAAATGACTAATTCTTGAGATGATTTAGAAACACAGCCAAGGACCGTGCTTGAATAATAAGTATGCAACATTATTATCTGTTCAGAAGCTGGTCTGAAGGTTCGAAATATATAAAATAAAGAAAGTCGGGCTGAGAAGACAGAAGGAGGCCTCCTGGCTGAGTCTCTGGCAGAACAAACTGCGTCGGGTACAGACACGTGTGCTGGGCTGGACACCTTGCTTCACCAGGGACCTTCTGCTAAAGACTCCCCAAAAGACGAGATTTTTGGCTCATTCAGCCAGATGAGCTGAAAGCTTTAGGAGGAAGTAAACA